CTCTACCGTACGAGGAGGCCTCTGTTTTTGCAGTTTTGGGAAATTTCTCATTTTCGAGTGATAGCCATCCTTATCTATTCGGGTGAAAGGCGCGTCGAATGGCGGAAGATTTGGAAGTGGTTGACAGTCAATGTTGCACTCTTGATCCTTCCACACCTGGACCACATCTCCGGCATCAAGTTCGGCGAAGAAACACGACCTCTTACCAGAAATACACGCCTATATGTATCAGAATTTGGTGCTATACATCCTCGCCACGAACCAATAGGGGTGATCATCCGGTTTGGCGAACAATCATCCAACTTGTTCAGAGTACTACACCTCCATCCACACCAGAATGCTTAGTCATGTGCCATGCGGATGTATTACGAGTAATTCAAGGCAATCGACTTGGGGTCATGTATAACCTAGGACCAATGGTAGGCTACTCTAGGCGTACTGGTTCCTTGCATCTCGCTTCGATAACGCTGACATAATCGTTCCCTTTCTCGCTTATAGTGGCTCCTGGGGAACTTTAAGTCTTCCCTGATGATCAATTGACGACGTAACATGCACGCCTCAACAAACCAGTGAAAAACCTTCGTCAACAAAAATTTCCCCGCGAAAAAATCCGATATGAGCACTTCAATAATTCCTCACCAGTCAATGCTCTCCCGTTCTGGATCATTTCGTGCCTGGCAAAGTGAGGACCATCAACACTCAAACTTGTGTCCCGCTAGAGTGGCTACAGAGATGGTTACCTTTTAGATATTCGTTGTCGCATATCTACTGCTGTTTGAGGATGGGGATTCCATATTCGTGTCTCTCGGTCAATAGGAGTGGCTCTGAGTATTCCAGGTGGACACTTTCCAGAGAGGCTTGTGAATCACCCTCAGTATGCAAAGTACCGACGCATCTACCACTTCACGGAGGACTTTCTCTTCCTGCATCGGACTTTATATCAGGAGCGAGACTTTACTGGATTGAACGAACTCAGGCCACAAATGAACAGGATTAAATTCGATAACCGCCCGTGACAATATCCTTTCAGTTCATCGCACCGTAACGTGGCAGAAGAAAGGCTTATTCTTTTCTAGTGAGGTGGGTCTCAGTGTAGTTATTCAGGGGTGTTTTGTGAGTGTCGCAATGGGCCTTTCTGATACTCACTAATCAAATAACGGGTATACTAGGCACCCTTTAGTATGCAAATGAATCAAGTTCAATCCAGAACAACTAACCGTAATAGCCAATGCTAGATGGCAATGTCTGTCCCTATGATTGGTACGCAGCAGCGTGCTATCATGCACACCCTGCTCTCATTCTCTAAGTACGTAGTTAAATGCATGTTTATAAACGCTTGTCAATCGAATTTCTATCCGTTTCATTTATTGGATTTTCTTTGGAGGACGAAATCAGTTTGAAGGAAATGAAACGGAGTTGATAATCTACTTACTTTGCAAAATGCTAGCTATGCATCTAGGTGTACAAACGGGATCCATGCTGTAAGCGGAATATCTCTCGCCCGACGAAGTTTTTTGAACAAAAATGTGCAGTGCTTCAGCCGCCCTTCTACCATCCGGTCGCTCATTACCTTGCATGATCTGAGAGGGAAGAATGGACACTTGAATTGCAATTCATGATCGGATACAGCTGAGGACAGGGAAACTAGACACCGAGATGTACAAAGGGGGTCCACGCCGTAAACGGTACATTCCTCTTCTTACGGAGCTTTTGGACCGAAAGGTGTAGTGCTTCGGCTGCTTTCCTACTGTCTGGCCTTTGATCATCTTGCATTATATGTGCATAAAACTCGTCTGCGACTTTGGGTGCGAGATCATCTTGAATCGACCACATTGTTGCGACAACTCCGCGATATCCAGCAAGCAGCATTCCGCCTGCTATATGAACAGCTTCTTCGGAGAGATTTTCATCTCCAGTCGTTGTCTGACACGCTGACAAGAAGGCAAACTCTGCATTGGGAAGATTGAGTCGGATGATCTCTTCGAGAGTGAGGTGACCATCTTCAAGAATGAGCGCACTCTTAGTCGGCTCCTCTGGTTTTTGCACGCCGTGGCAGGCCAAATGAAGCCAATTACAATCTTCCATCCCCTTCTGCACTCTTGCCTTGGTCCCTTCAGCACCTTCCAGTACGACATGAGGTCGATCATCTAGGCGACGTCGAATACAACCCAATTCCTCTTTCGTGTTGGGTATTTTGGATGCACCAGGAGCAGAAGGCTGGATGACCGATAGTAGTTTAAAAGTCGAGGCCACCCGGAGATTGGTCGATTCGAGCAATGCGGATACTGTGGGTGTGTATGATGAGATGACGTAGTTGCTTAGCTGGTTGTCAGCTGAGCTCGAGTCATATACTCCGGCTGCATGTATTGGTAGGAATGCAAGTGATCCAGTAGCACACCACCAGATCCGTGGAAGGGTATCTGGATGAAGCTGAAAAGCACCATTAGTAAAATGTCATGCTATATAGAATTTTTACTTACAGGGAGTGCCAAAGCCTCTATAACAGGTTTGACCAACCCTGTCCAAAGCTCGGCGAGAATCTGCTTACAGTCTTCGTCGTCTGTTCCCTCTGGAACCCTCATGGCAGCCCTTTCTATCCTGAATCTGATCCCGCTAGATGATAGTAGGTCCTTGAGCTCATCTACGAGCTCCGATACTCTATTCAATGTGATATTCGGCAGTGGAACATGAAGCACGCCCTTCGATCCAGGAACTAGAGCGAGTGCATCACAACGTGCCTCGGATATGTTCAGAACTACTACAGGGCCGCTGCCTGCCGCCTTCATTAGTTGTAATGCCTTGGTAGGGCCCAAAAAGTCCTCGAATGTAGGAATTGACCGAACTTCCTTGATCATTGACTCCCATTCTGCCGTCAACTCTCGGTATCGTAGCCCTTCTTCTTCCGTTGGCCGATTGATTCTACTTGTTACATCGGCTTGCTCGAGTCCGCGATCTAGGAGGCGGGAGACCCGAACGAGACGCTGAGCGAGATCTGGCTTAGCCTCGTGCAGACGCTCAACTGGAGTTCGTAGCTGAAGAATCTGAGTCCATACAATTGACCTTCCTTGCTCTAACCACTCTAAGGCCTTGTTATATTCCCCAAGAGAAATTGCGGCCGCAGCCGCATCTCGTGTGATTCCGCCTATTTCGGTAAGGTAGTAATGCCGGCCTGTGATAGAAAGACCTAGCCAAGCAACGAGTGGTATAAGATCAATACCACATTCGTAGGAAGATAATAGGGACGAGTGATGTGTGTTAGATGCGATGGTGCTCCAGGCTCTTGCTGCTTTGAAGCGCTGCATTGGAGGACCAATTCGACAAGTGGCTGCTGCAGAGTAATGTGATATAGCATTTTCTATATCCTGAGCCTGCTGAAAGTGATAAAGACGAGTCGAAAAGGAATTTCCGAGGTTAGTCAAACGACCAGGCCGGTCATGATGAATATCTGGTGTGAGATTGATTGCCGCTTGTTGACTTTGAATTGCCTTCTCTATGTCTTCAACATTTCCGAAGCTGTCAAAGCGATTCCTGAGAGCATTTCCAAGGTTACTAAGTCGATGAGCCTTATGAGGGTCACCATCTGGCGTAAGCTTGACCGCCGCTTCTTTCGATGAGACTGAGGCGTCAATATCGGCTCTATTGTTAAAATTTTTGAATCGGGCTAAAAGGGAAGTTCCCAGATTGTTCAAACGACCCGGTTTTTCGGGATGGCCGTTTGGTGTTAGATCTACTGCCCTCCGTTTCGATGCAATCGCTTTGTCGATGTCGGGTAAATTCCCAAGCCGCTCAAAGCGTGTTTCGAGAGAGTTTCCCATATTGGTCAACCACATGGGCTTTTTCGGGTGACTATCCGGTGTGAGTCGGACTGCCGCTTGATTTGATAGGATAGCATCATCAATATCAGCAAGCTCTGCAAGACGCTGGAACCTGCTCAATAAAGATATCCCCAGGTTATTCAGGTGGCTAGGTTTGCTGGGATGAACATCAGGGACTAAATCAATGGCCGCGCGTTTTGACCTAATCGCCTCATCAAGGTCCCCAAGATTTCCAAGCCGATTAAACCGGGTCTCCAGAGAGCAACCTAGCTGGTCTAAAAATATATGCTTATTAGGATGTCCCTCTGGTGTGAGATTGAGGGCCTCTCTTTTCAATGCGATCGCATCGTCGACGTCGGCAAGCTTTCCAAGTCGTTGGAACCTTAGCTCAAGCAGACCACCCAAGTTGCCTAGATAACTGGGTTTGGCAGGATGACCATCTGGTATGCAATCAACCGCAGCTTGATTTAATCTGATTGCATCATTCATGTCAGCGAGCTTTCCCAGGTGATCAAAGCGAGCCCGCAGAGAGCCTGCAAGATTATTCATATACATGGGCTTCTCAGGTTGGCTATCCGGCGTGAGGTCAATTGCAGCTTGTTGTGATGTAATTGCAGCATTGATATCGGCGATCTTTCCGAGATAGTTGAATCGGGTAGCAAGGGAGTTTCCCAAATTGCTCAAACAACCGGGTTTGTCACGATGCCCGTCTGGTAAAAGATTGATCGCAGCTTGTTTGGAGGAGATTGCATTTTCAATGTCGGCGATATCTCCTGATCGTCGAAACCGAACCTCAAATGAGCTCCCCAGATTGTTTAAACTCGAAGGTTTGCTTGGGTGATCGTCTGGAGTCAAATCAACAGCCATTTGTTTGAATTTGATTGCTTTATTGAGATCTACAATGTTTCCAAGGC